CCTTCAGTCCATCTGAAATCTCAATCTCACTCTCACCTGCTTTTTCCTTTTGAATCCCAGAGCTGCCACTCTCATTTTGGCCCCTGTGGTCTTTCTCAATACCCTCATAGGAGCTTTCTCACCCCCCGGTTTGCCTCATTCCAATCCATCGTAGAGGCTCCTTTCGGATTAGCCTTTCCCAAACCCAGAATTGGTTATTTCTTTTCTCAAAAGGGCTCATCAGTTCTTTGCCACCTATTGAATTAAGTACACAGTCCCTGGCCTTCATCAACAACCACAGTCGGGCCCAGTCTGCTTTTCTTGTCTGATCCATCTCTCCTACATCCCAGACTATGTGATGTTCTCTCCTAACTATTTAGCTGGGCCCACGCTTTCCCAGCTTTATGATTTTATCCCCTGGTTCCTGTCTTCCTGAGTACATTCCTATTTCTGACTGCTGAAATCCTATTCATTCTGGAAGCTCTGCCTTTTATTAAGGGTATGTGTGTTCCTGATTCCTCTCTTTTTTTTTTTCTTTTGCTGTTGCATATTACCTGAGGCTTGTCATTGCATTTTCCTCATTTTTGAGAACCTTGCTCTTCCTTCTGTAGTGCCCGTTACCTATCGGCTCATTAAATATTTGTTAAAATGAATGGAAAATAACTGTAATGTGTGTTCTGAGCCTCCAACTCTCTGAAATCCTTGAAAAAAATTTCCAAAGCTTACAGGAAATATTTTACAGGAAAGGAGTGAGTGGAGCTCATTAGAACATTTCCTTTCTTTATGTCCCTGTTCCACAAGAGAAAAAACATGTCCTCTCACATCTCCACATATATGTGGAAATTGGCCTCTTAATAAATCATGGGCTTATTTTCCAGCACAAATTCACATTTTATTTTCATGTAATTTTGCCTCAAATGGTCACAGATTTTTATCTCTAATCCCTATCACTGCATATTCCATTTGCTAGTTTAAAAACCCTCAAAATAGGGAACTTGGGAACAAATTGTACCTCTGAGAGGTAGGCTAAATAGTAGGATATTAACCCCCAAAAAGTAATGCAACAAAGTTTTCCTCCTTTTTACTGAAAAGATTACGCTTTTATAAATGTTGAATCCTGAAGTCACATCGCTAGTTTATGGGATGGAGGATATTTCCATTTGACAGGAAAACTAATAACTTAATGCTAAAATCTAGACAGTTGCCATGGCATTTCTTAGAACTCATAAAGGTATTAAAATTATTTTGTCCTCCTCTGTTTTTATTTTCTTCCTGACCTAGGCAGTTACTCTAACATTAATGTTAGTTCATTATGAATCATTTGTAGGGAACAGTTGTTTGGCTAAAAGCAATTAATATATTTTAAAATTAAAAAACCTGGATATGAAGGTCTAGTAAGTCATAGTAAAGGCTGTGAATTCATTACAGTACAGCATCAGGTTTCAGATTAATATATTCTTGTCTTTTTTCTGCAGTTTATAGTGACCTATTGTATAATGTAGTCAAATGCTTGTTGTCTTAGTCCATTCAGGCTGCTATAGTAAAATACCTTAGACTGGGTAATTTATAAACAAAAGAAATTTATAGCTCATGGTTTTGGAGGCTGGGAAGTCCAAGATCAAGGCACTAGCAGACTTAATGTCTGCTGGGGGCACATTCCTCATAGATAGTGCCCTTCCATGTGTCTTCATGTGGCAGAAGGGTCAAACAGGCTCCCTCAAATCTCTTTTCTAAGGGCACTAATCCCATTCACGTGGGCTCTACCCTCATGATCTAACTGCCTCCAAAGCCTATATCTCTTAATATAGACACATTAGAGATTAAATTCTAATATATAAATGTTAGAGGGACATAAACATTCAGATCATCACGCTGGTGAAAAAATTTACAACTTCAGGTAATGGAATTTGCTTAATGAAAGAAGTTTCACGAACCAAATATCTCTGCCATTTACACAAATGGAGCCAATGTTCTGTACTCGGATAAAAAACGAATTAGACAACTCAGATAAATCTCGAGGGAATTATGCTGAGCGAAGAAAGGCCAATCTCAAAAGGCTAAAAACTATATGATTTCATTTAAATAGCATTTTTAAAATAAGAAAATTATAGAGATTAGTGATTGCTGTGGGCTAGGAATGGGGAAGGAGGTGCAGGGGGGAGGGGAGAGGGGCTCTAAAGGGGCAGCAGGAGGGAGCCTCGTGATGGAGGAATGTGGTGGTGGTGATGTGAAGCTGCGCAGGTGGTAACATTGCATAGAGACACACACGCACACACGTGCACGCTGCAATATGCATAACCTCTGGGGATGGTACCTGTGTCAGTTTCCTAGTTTTGATGGTATATTATAGTTAGGCAAGATGTCACCACTGGGGGAGAATGGCTGGGTGAAAGAAAGGAGCACTTGACCTCCCTGTATGCTACTTCACAACTTCCTGGGAACCTACAATTATTTCAAAATAAAAAGTTAAAGAAACAATCAGACATCTCCTTGTTCACAATAGAGAAGGGGTTGCAAGCAAGTTAAGGAGGTAACTCAAGTTAAGTGAAGTGGCTGGCAAGGGGGAGGGTGAGAGCTGTGGCCCATGTCAAAGAGGCAGCTGCTATTTAGCTCCTGCCACGGAGGGACCTGTGCACCTGGAATTGCTGACCCCTCTGAGTGCAGTTGTTTCCATAAAGTGCCAGAAATCTAAGTTCCTAATAAAAATATGGCTCTTAAATATTGACAACTAATTCACACTTTTTGAACACTGTGTAAGCACACTAAAGATACTGGGAGTCTAGATTCAACCTAATATAATACCCATTCATTTGCAAACTCAGCTTCCAGATAGAGGTTCAGTTTGGCTCCAAGATGAATTTCCCACTCAACAACTTGATGATCTCAGTGCACAGCTCACACTTGTTTGTGATCTCTTATGAAAGATGGAGAAATGGTCACTCTTGAGATAGTAAGTATTCTGATCAGTCCGCTAACTGCAATTTCATAAGCCACCAATTATTGACAGCTAGCGGCGGGGGGGGGGGCACGGGGGGAGTTGATATCAGTTTTTAGACTGCTACTGGAATCTGCTGTGAGCTCTGACCAAGACCTTCACCTCTTCTTCCCATGGTGTGGGGCACAGCTTGTGTTTTTACAAATGTTGATTTGTTCTTCTCCAGCTATCTTAATTCTTTTCTTTTGTTTTTTAAAGCTAAATGAGAACCTCCTACAAAAACTGAGAAAATGAACCAGAATCTGGAGTTTTATGCTAGAGTTGTCCTGAGGCTGATACCATGGTCTGGTGAACACACTTTATACATAGGTGTCAGCAGTACCCATAGCCTCGGTCTCTATTGGATGCTCTAAACATAAGCCTTTTACTCATTATTGCAAACAAGCAGATCGAGGTGCTGGTAAGGTCCTCAATCTGGTTTTGGTCCTTTAAAGTCTGCATCACCTCTGCCCTGTTAAATGTCCAGAGCCTAGATTTTTCTTCTTCTCCAACTCCTAGCCTGGCCATGTGACTCAAAAGAAGTGAAAGGACATAGCTAACTACATATCCTTCACTATGACTTGGCAAAACAGCTCCAAGCACAGCATCTGTGAGTCAGTAACACCCCATCCCACCCCCGCACTGTCTGAAACACCATATGCACTCATCAGACTTCTGTGTCCAATCTCCAGTAGCGTGAGCTCACCCAATTCCTTCGTGCAGGGAGTGAGTAGAAAAATTCCATCCTCTTAGCCTACAAAATTTCAACTGTGGCCTAATTATACATTCTCAAAATCAGATTTAAAATGATTAAAAGATTCATTTGCATTAATTATGTCCTCTTTTTCCCCAAAAGTCACCTGCTAATAAGAGTCCAGAGAATGTTTTCTAATCCTCCTTCAAAATAGAGTAGTTGTAGGTATTACATAATTATGTATCAATAAAAGAATCTTTTCCTATTTGCCATTTTTCACAAAGCTCTGTAATACACAGACTTTAAAAGGGTTGGTTCTCAGCCTCGAAAATTATGCTAATGAGCTTAAAAGCAATAATTCAAAGTGTAGCCACTAATTTCTCTAAGGGGAAATAGGCAGAGACCCTGGGCTCTACGTGTGTTTTCAACTAATTATCATGTATTTACTTTTCCATTAGTCCAATAATTTTTCTTTCAATTCAAAATTAAGCAATAAGACACTGAATTATATAAAGGCCTGTTTAGCATAGCAGACACACCCCATCATTTCTCCATCCTCTGATTTACAGCTCTTAAAATGTGCAACCAAGAGGCTGTCTATATGCCCTTTCGTATTTATATTCCATCATGTAGTCACCTCAATAACTTATGCATTCTCAGAAGGTCTACCTAGCAATTAACTCCAGTCCTTTCTAACTCACCATCTCATTATGTAAAGTGGATTTGAACACAAACTTTATTAGCAACTTTCAATTCTAATTCCTTATCTCCTCCACCCCTACTCTGCCTCCTAGTAATGTCAGTTTACATGTGACGAAAATACTCTGGAAAATGGCAGTTTGAAAAATCCACGTTGGACTGGCAGCACATTTAGTAATTGGTCTTTGCACTATGGGGCACTACAATATATATTGAGACTGTCGTATTTCAGCTGAAGCATGTGATGTCATTCTTCAAAGAAATGGAAATGAATTCTCCCTGCCTCACAACAGCATATGAACTATGTTTAAGAGGAATAGGCAAGTAAGGAAGCTATCATTTTTATTCAAAAGGTCAAAAAAAGAAAAATCGCAAAAAAACTTAAACCAACCCAAAACCCTTGGCTAAAAGAGAAAGGAATTCATAGTATCTCCTCTTCAAATGCTAGCAAGAGGAGGGAGGACTACTTTCAGAGTTTTCTCATGCACAGGAAGTGCATCAGCTAAGGAGCTGAAGTGTAATTTAATGCAATCTCATGGTAAAGAACCAACGGAGCTGATGAAGGTTCTCGTAAAACTAAAGGAAAGGCATCACCTGAAGACACTATGCCCAATGTGTGAACAGGCAGAGGCCTGGTCAGTGCAACTGACTTACCAACGTCGGGGTCCACGGCTTGAACTCTGGTCAACAGAGCCTTGGTGGCCGTGTTCTCATAGACACAGGCGTTGTAGTGGTCAGAAGAAAACACAGGGGGGTTATCGTTCACATCCTCCAGGATCAGGCGGACGTCAGACTGGCAGAACCTGCCACCCCCGTCCGTGGCTCTGGCGATCAGGTTGTACACAGGGACCCTCTCCCGGTCCAACAGAGCCAAGGTTTTTAACTCGCCTGTGAAAGGAAATGGCAGCATGATTGGCCTGGCTTGTCAAAAACTGTCTTTCTTTGAGGAGCAGAGGATCAATTATATAAAGAATTCCCAGTACAGGAAGGACCAATGGCATTTGGTCCAAGTACCCCATATATGGTAAGATACAGAAAATTCGATCATTCTTTAGGCAGCAGGAAAAATGGATGGGACTTTGGATGTAGCAACAAAACAGCTTCATGAACTTCAAATTCATTAGTCCCTTTGGGAAATCTCTGGTATCAGGGCTTCTTTCTTTTGGCTACATGAAGAAGCCTCTTAATCTCTTTCAACCTCTCAAGATCTACTCTGGACATAAGTCTCTGGATTTCTGCTATATTTGCAGAAAAAGCATAGAGAATGGACCAGCATCTCTAGTTCTCTGGTGGTCAGTACTGTCAACAATCCAGAGACTCAGAAGGGCACTCTCTTTGCTTCCAGATACTTAACTCTTTATTCCACCTTTTAGGGGAAAACAGGCAATCAAAACAGAGGCTGGCTTGAGCAGAGCAGGGTCGGAAGGACCACTATTGTGCCAGGGCGAAGCCTTTACTTGCTGGGTTGTGGAAGTGCATTCGGGTACTGGGGCAGGGGTCAGGTGGAAGACAACCTGAGGAGCTTGGAGAAGCAGTGACTTGACAACAAGCATCCCAGGTATGCTGTGTCTGCATTTTAACTGCTAGAACTACTGTGCTGGACACCAGCTCCCATGGAGACTCTTTTATTGTTTAAGTTTCAATAGATAATGATAACAAGTCCAGTGACAAACCTGAATAAATGCAGTTTGGTAAAAAGTATGACTCATGAAATGTTATTATTCTTAAATAAAGTTAGTAGACATTATTCAGATCAAGATGTCTATATTTATAAAGCAGTTCCTCCTATGCATCTCTGTTGCAGACAGACAGTTCTCAGATATAGGTTGGGACATTTCCGAAACTCCTATTCAGAAAGCATCCGGTGACTTTCCAGGGTGACATTCAAGACCCTCCATGATCTGGCCTAAAGTTGTTTTCCTGCCACTTTTGTACATTTCCTGGATGTGCTGTGCTCTTGGCTCATGCTGTCCCTGTAACCTACAGTGTCCTGCGTTAGCTACTAGACTCCTAGCTCAGTTCAAATGCTAGCTCTTCCTTAAAACAGCTTCCTTTTTTTCTCTCTTCAGAATAGAAGCTACTTCTTCCTCTGTGCCCAGATATAGCTCCCCTTATATTTCTCCTGGGCACTCATTTCAATTGTCTTTCATTATTATTATTATTGGTCTACTCGTCTATCTTCCCTACTGGATTATAATATCCCCTGGACATGGTTTGTTTTGTTCATTTTGGAGTTTACTACAAATATCCCATAAAGTTTTTATATCTATCAGCTATTCAATAAATGTTACCTATGGAGTAAATCATCACCAGGCCCAGGCAGCTAAGTAGTCTATTCACATGTAGCTAAGTCAAGATGTCCCAGTAGGATACAACCGACACGGGAGTGGGCAGGGAGGAGCCACTACCTTTTTGGAGACTCAGTAGTTAGTTACTGTTCACGAGGACCAACACAGCTGGAAATATGCAAGCTAGTCAATCGTTACACTTGATGTAAAAATTGCCATTAGATGGATCATCCAATTCACAACACTAAAATCACTGACTCTGTAGAAAATGACTTTTCCATTATCTCTGGCCTTCAATGCAGCCATCTATCTGCCTTTGGCTTATATAACCTTTCACCTTATAAATTTTACCTGAATATGCAAGCAAATCTGAGAGTTCATAGCTTGAACGTTCAATAAAAACCAGACAACTATGTTAGTAAGACTCAGAAAGGGATCCAAAAGGGAGTTCAAAATGAGAAAAAAAACCTGTCTTTTCTATGCACTGCTGTCTGGTTTGCGTGGCAATCTGCATTTGAGATGTAACTTGATTTATACCTGTTATAAGCATATGCCTTAACTCATATGAGAAACAGAAGAAGCAAACAGAGATGTCTGCTTACTTGATGCTAATAAATGTAGGTCAAGTCCAGGCAAGTTTTATAAACCAAATAAAGTCTGTGTCCAGAGCACCCATATCTGTACACCATATGTTCCTACTATGGCTTAGAGTCCAAGATACTGAATATCATATTGTTGGGGTGCAGAGAACAATACCTCAAAGTACAGTGCTCTGGCATGCCAAACATTCTGAATTAAAATAATCTGGAAGGCCTTAGAAGATGCCTCAGAATCAAGAACTTTCTAACCTTCCCTTGTTTTTTCCTCCCCCAACCCAAGCACAGGGAGGGACTCTCTGGAATTTTCCTTATCTTACTGAGGAAATCTCTTTCCAATTGAAGGGCAATTATCTTAACACCCCCGTCCCTAGGAATCTCATCAAATATCCAAGAGAGATTGACCACTGGAGAAGAAAAAGAAGACTAAAAGGTATCACCATGCCCAAACAGACTTTTCATTTATTCTTCTGAAGACAGCTCCAAGATATGACCTGGGAGACTTTATTTGAATAATTAGACAGCCTTTGTTCACAGTGCAATTCAGTTCCTCACCTGCCCACAATTTGCTGGTCCCACTGAGTTTTCTAAGAGAATCATTTACAAGATAATGGTTACCTCCCAGGTCCATTCATTTCCCCTAAAAGTAATTTGCTACTCCTCTAAAATTATCTATATTCCCCCCACTTTCCTCTCCCCTATGAAAAGGATATTTAAGCTTCAACCATCTGGCCCTTCTTTGAGTTTCATATTATTGGGACTCCAGTGCCCATGTGCATGTAAATAAATTTGTATACCTTTATTAATCTGTCTATTGTCAATTCATCTCTGTGAACCTTTAGACAGGACAGAAGGGAAGCTTTCCCTCTGTCCCACGATATCAAATATACTAACTATCCACTAGTGATGAAATCATATGAGAGTTTAACTTCTCTCATATATTAACAATGGCATTTACGCAAAGAATAAATTTCACCTTACCACTTTCTGGATCTAGAAAAAATTCATTGTTTCCAGATCCATAGAGCGAGTATCGTATATCTCCATTGGATCCAATATCGGCATCCTTGGCACTGACCTTCAGGATGATTTTATTTGACGCAATGTCTTCAGGAAATAATGCTGTATATGCAACCTGGGCAAAGGTGAACAAAGGTAACTAAAGCATTCGTATCTGTGGGACAAGTGCCATATTTAGCATTGTATATGACTTCTTTAAAAATTCATTTCTATGGTTTAGCTTTTGCTACTTTTTTCCTTTAAACATAGAACCATATTACAGTATACTATGAAACACTGAATATCTGCTGCCCTACCACTCCCATGCCCATTCATTCAACAAATATTTATTGAGCACTTACTATGTGTTAGGCTCCATTCTAGTTGCTAAATATACAGCAGTGAAGAAAACAGATGAAAATCTCACCCCTCTGGTTCCATGACACACATCATACATTGACCATGGTACACCATTCTGCGGAGTCCCAATGAGTCCTATGGACTCTTTTCAACTCTTTAAAGAGCCACTACTAACATTTGGCATTAGCATGAGAGATTAAATCTATTTGCAACATTTTTCCAAGCTATAAGACACCAATATTATATCTTGGTCCACATGGTAAGGAAAAAATAAATTGTGATTTGATTTTGGCACCATGTGTTGGCATCATGTTTTATACAGAAGTAGGAAAGCTACTTCACAACGAGCCAGGAGACCTGTGTTCATTACCAACACTGCCACTAACCAGTTGTATACACTTATACAAACCAGTATTTTATCCTATAGAGCAGTCCGTTTCTATTTTATGATTTGAGTGATTTAGACAAAATAAGTCGTAAGGTTTTATTTCATTTTAAGACATGGTTTTGTTTTTGTCTTTTGGTATGTATGTGTGTGTGTGTGTGGGGGGGTAAAATTAGGTACCCGATCTTGTTACCTATCCTCCTTTCATGTTTAGAACATTTCATCCTAGGTTCCACCTCCTACCCTCTTATAGCCAACTGGAGACAAGAGCAGAGGTTTGCCTGGCCTTAAGAAGAAAAGCAAAATGGCTTTTGATTTCATTTTAGAGGAAGAGTAAAAAGCACAGCTGTATCTCCAAATCTTACCTGATCACACACTGGGCTATTGTCATTCACATCACTGACTGTCACTTCCACCATGGCCTGTGTGACAAAGAGTCCATCAGTGGCAGTGATATTGAGGAAGTAAATGTCTTGCTCTTCCCTGTCTAGAGGTCTCTTCACATAGACCTTCCACTCACTTTGCACCAGGCCCAGGGCAAACCTGCCACGAAAGTGTGATCCTGTATCAAAAAAAAAAAAAAAAAAAAAAAAAGATTTTGAAGATGTGCAATGAAATACCTTGATCTACACCTACCCTGAGAAGCCCGTGGGGGGTCATCCAGGTGCCCCTCAAACCGTATCATTCACGATACTAAAAAAGAATATTGATACTCCCTTAGGCTCTCTTGCAACAAACCATGATATTTATACGCTTGGCTTGTGTGGAAAGTAAAACAGTAACTTTCCAAGAGAATAAAAATCCATTTAGAGAAGCTGGAGATGATCTCTTGTTTAGTTCCCCTTAAGGACAATCAAATTCAAACTGTGAACAATCAATCCTCTTCTCAGGATGACACAATTGTCTTTCTACTTAGTCTCAAGAGAGGATGTAATACACTGTGGCTCTTGTTACCAAGACAATTTCATTAGGCTGTTGATTATGCAATCAAGGAAAGGCAGTTAGTTCTATTAAGGAATCTTTTAATGAAGGCTTTATCATACAGCTGTGCTCTTCTCATAAGGATTGGGATTTGGGGGAGAAAAGTTTACATGACAGAGGAAGGCCCATTAGTATTCAATAGCCCTAAGGAGGGGTCACTTGAGGAGTGGTTTGAAGATAAGCACTGCAATTAGATCAAATTTATCAGAGTGAAGCTGGTGAAAGTGGAAGAAAAGGAGGAGAGATACAGTGGAATAGCTTTTCATGATGCTGAAGCACTAACAGGGGTCCCGGCAATACTACTTTTGCATATCATTAAACTACAAGGAGGTAAAAGCAGCTTAGAGAACAAGACAGGAAGAGGAGGGAAGATGAAAACTATCTTGACCAGGTGTCCTCAAACTACGGCCCACGGGCCACATGCCATTTATCCGGCCCTGTCCTGCTTAGCAGCTGACTCGTCCTGGGCCCACAGTGCGCATGTGTGGAATGTGCGCTGCACTCTCCAACAGCCCTCCAACGGTCTGATGGACTGTTACTTTTAAACAGTGAACTGGCCCCCTGTTTAAAAAGTTTGAGGACCCCTGATCTTGACCTTCTAAGAGGGAAATAATGTCATTTCAAACACTGAGAAAGACTGTGCAAGACAACTAGCAAGAAGTTAGGAGTCAGGTTTGATGATCACCATCTCATTTATTTGAGCATTCAACAGATATTTATCACCTACTCTGGGCCAGACACTGCTCTAGGCAGCAGGGCTACAGCAGTGGACAAAGTTGGCAGAAAACCCTGCTCTCATGGCAGAGCTCACATTCTAGAGGGGAAGACTGACAATAAACAAACACATAGGAAAAGCATACTGCGTGCTGTTACTTCATGAAAAAAGTAGAGTCATCTCAGATACTTATAATGAATCTTTACCACATTAACTGCCATGTGAGTTGTATTTAACTCACGCTAGTCTTGAGCCCAGGGCCTCATGAAGCATATGTAACTCACTCGTCTGTTCACGTTGGGAGCCATATGGACTATTTTTCAAATTGCACATAATTTATACACAGAGAACAATAAAAATAACACAATTTTCATTAAATTAGAGAGGATCATTTTTGTTTTCGAAGTTTTTATTCTATTTTCGTAATAAAAATACTATGGCTCCAAGAAAAAATATTTTTTTTCGGGGGTAACAGTCAATGTGTTAAAAGCAGGAGGCAAACATCAGGGTCCTACGGGAGAGACTGAGTGGGGAGGAGTGGGATTCTGAGTGCCAGACTGCACATTTGGTTATGGGGGGGAAGGGGAACATCTGAGGGCCTCAGCACTGTGGGACAGCCATGGCATAAATGGAACCAAATTGGGCAGGCAGTGCAGAAAAGCGGAGGCTGCCCATTCCTTTGGGCAATGGTTTTCAACTGGGGACGGCTGTGCCCCTCCCCACCTCTGGGGCTATTTGTCAACGTCTGGAGACATTTGTGCTTGTCACATTGGTGGGAGGATGGTGGCAGTACGTGCTACTAGCATCTAGTGGGTGGAAACCAGGGATACTGCCACACATCTCACAACGCACAGGACAACCCCCCACAATGAAGAATTATCTGGCCTCAACCGTCAATAGCAGTGTGGCCAGCCAAGAAGCCCTGCTCTGGGAGGTCCTGGGTCCTCCCTGGGATATCACTTTCCTCCACCACTGGCCTGGGCTCAATTATGCGTGAGTTGAAAATTATTTCAGCGCACACAAATTTAACCTCTCTATTAAATGCTTTCAGTGCAGGCCCACACTGTTCTTTTGTTACATAAAATGATTAATGGTCCTTTGTTAATCTGAGGCAGCATAGCCAAGTTGTGTTACATCCAGAGCAAAAGTTAAATCTAATTAAAATCAGTTGGTGGTTGGCACTGCTAATAGTAACAGTAGCTTTAAGCTACTTTGTACTCATTACTTTGGTAAAGTCAATGGGATGGTCCTTTTAAATCATCCATTGAGAATTCAGAGACTATCAATAAATAATTAAGGTTGAGTATTTAACAATTCTTCCAAATAGAAAAGGATCCCTCAGAATGCCTAAGAAGCTTTTTTCCCCTGAAATTAAATGCAAATGAATCAAAGTGATGCTTCACTCGCCTCTTTCTGTCCTCACCACTTTCATGTTTTAACTGCAGAAATATATATTTTAATGAAAAAAGACCAAAGATATCAGGTAAATCATAAAATGCATAAAGTGTTTCAAGTGGAAAATGCCACCAAGAGAACAGTTCCATAAAGAAAAAAAGAGAAGAATAATGCCCCAAACTGTGGCAACCCTAAGCATTGACACATTTGCTCCACTGTGGATCTTATTCTGTAGTGATTAATTAACTTTTCCACTAACATACTTAAGCAGATTCTGTGTCCTAAGGGCATTCTAATTAATTCATTTTTCACTCTGAATAATGTAGTTTTTCTAAAGGGAAGCCACCTGACTACAAGTATTGATGGATTCTTTAAAATCTTTTGGCACTTTGTTTATGTTCTGTCTTTGAATGTGACAACATCAAAATATTAGCTTTAAAACCCCTAAACAATTTTTAGGAAGACTGCCCCCATATCACCAACCCTCTCCTATTTCAGTTTAAGGCCAGCCATCCTCAGAAAGCTGCTCCTGATCAGTGACAACCCTTTTTTTCCAACACGAAATCCTCAGCTCCTCAAGAGCAACGGCGACAGTTTCTGTGCACTCTTGGTGACTGCCTTTGTCCCTCTTGGATTTCCCATTGAACTGATACTTGCTATTTTGAAAGACAAAAAAGGAGCCAAGAAAACCCAGTTGTCAGAAGAAATAACCCTTGACTTGGAATTATAATTTAGGATTTCTTGGTGAAAGATCAAATAGTGTCCTCTAGTTTGTATGTGTGTGTGCATATGTGTTTTTATGACCAGGATAAACTTATATGTGAAGCTTACTGGGATCCAGCTATTTGTTTTTCTTTAGTGTTTTGTGTGTGTGTGTGTGTGTGTGTGTGTGTGTGTGTGTGAGAGAGAGAGAGAGAGAGAGAGAGAGAGAGAGAGAGAGAGAGAGACATAGTCTTGCTCTGTCACTCTGGCTAGAGGGCACTGGCGCCATCATGGCTCACAGCAACTTCAAACTCCTGGGCTCAAGCAATCCTCCTGCCTCGGCATCCTGAGAAGCGGGGACCACAGGCATGTGCCCCCCATACCCAGCTAAGATTTCAATTTTTTGTAAAGATGGGGTCTTGCTCTTGCTCAGGCTGGTCTTAAACTCCTGACCTCAAACGATCCTCCAACCCCAGTCTCCCAGAGTATAAACATGAGCCATGGTGCCTGACCCAGCTATTTGTTTTTCTTAGCACAACAAAAAAAAAAGTAGGAAAAAGGAATATAGTTAAAAATGTATCTTTCCACCCAAAGAGTTGCCATTTTCATTTCTTCAACTGAGATATTTGGCTGGACTCCTTTTTAAATGATAAAAGGTGACACAAGGTCTAAGTGCCAATCCGGGTAACATGTTGTCGGCAAACTTGTGAACTCTGAGGCTGAGTTAACAAGAACCAGCAAGCAAAAAACCCAGTCTGCTCAAGGAACTTTCACTCAGCCCCAGAGAGGTTTGGTTACTCGCAATCCTCATCTGGTTTTCCTTCTTTCCTACTCTTATTCCCCACAGCCATCTTCCATCTTTCTTTATAAAGACAGCACTTACTGAAAACCATGGGTGTTGACTTACCTGTAATATGGTAGCTCACTTGGCGATTAATGTCAGACGTGTCTCTGTCCCAGGTGCTGAGGACAGCCACTACCTCACCTGGCGGGTCGCTCTCCTTCACATTTCCTCGGTACACCTCATGGGCAAAGACTGGTGCATTGTCATTTATATCCGTCACCTTAACAGAAACCAAGGTGGTGGAAGAGAGAGAGAATGCCTCTCCGAGGTCAGAGGCCACCACAGAGAAGGTGAATTCGGGGTCTGTCTCGTGATCCAGGTCCTTCAAGGTGCTGATCCAGCCTGTGTTGCCGTCAATACTGAATGCCTCCATTACCTTTTCAGGCTGGGAATCTGAGTGGAGGGAGTAAGTGACCTGCCCATTGGCTCCCCAATCCATATCAGTAGCTCTCACCTGCGTGAGTTTGGTGCCGACAGGCATCCCTTCCATTATGATGGTCTCGTAGCTTGAAGTTTCAAAGACTGGCTTGTTGTCATTCAAATCCAATACCTTGACATCTACATCTACGGTAAACACGATGTCTACCTTGTCCAAGGGAATAGTGGCTGCTGCTTTAAAGTGGAAAGCTGGGATAGCTTCATGGTCAAGGCGCTTGTCAAGCTTAATTGTGCCTGTTTCCTGTTCAATGATGAAGATACCTCCTCTGTTATTTTCTGGTCGCTCCCCATTAACTGTGCTGAACCGGACATTTTGACTGGGCAAAATCCTCAGGGTGTCCACTGTGCTCCCAATGGCTGTATCTTCTGCAACAACAAAAGAATACTGAGACTGGGTGAACGAGGGCAAAAATGTTTCAGGGGGCAAGACGTGGACATAGACGGGAATGAGGGAGTGCTTCACGGGAATGCCTCCGTCTACTGCTTTGACAAAGAAGGACAGCACTGTATTTTTCAGCTGGTTGAAATTGCCTTTTGTGACCATCCAGCCATTGTCAGGATCGATCTCCAGGAGGTCAGCCACCGAGACTGAGGCCTCGCTATAGAGTGAGTACGTAATCCTTGAGTTTGCTCCGTCATCTGGATCCATGGCTTGAACCTGAGTGACCAAGTGGCCCCTTCCAACGTCTGCCCTGACGCTGGCTCTATATTCCACTGCCAGGAACTGGGGAGCATTGTCATTTTCATCCACAACAATCACCCTCACGGTGCAGAAAGTTGTTCTCCCTCCACCATCGAGAGCCCTCAAAAAAATACTAATGTCTCCCTCCAGAGGGTTTTCCCGGTCTAGCCTTTCTGTGGTGATGACCTGTCCGTTGCTGTCGATGAGGAATCGGTCCTTGGCAAAGTCATTGATGATGGCATAGCTGATCTGCCCGTAAGTCCCTGGATCCCCGTCTGTGGCTCGGACGTGAATTACCTTTGTGCCAGCGGCCGCATTCTCTCTCACCTCCGCGACGTATGTGCTCTGTGAAAAGGCAGGGCTGTACAGGTTGGCCCCGAGAACCCTGATGTGCACCTGTGCAGTGTTGGTGAACAGCCCGTCAGAGACAGACACATTGAGACTGTACAGAGGCTCCATCCGCTGCTTCCGGTGGCTGGACAGCGTGATGACTCCGCTCTTGCTGTCCATGAGAAAGCTCGTCCGGTCATTCCCAGATAAAATGCTGTATTCCAACCGGTCACAGTCAGAGCTGTCTGCATCAGACGCTTGCACACACGTCACAAAATGGCCCCGGGGGGCTAATTCACTCACATATGACTCATAAATGAGCTGATTAAAAACCGGAGGGTTGTCATTTATGTCGGAGATGTGGATATGAACCAGAACCTCACTGCTCAGGGATGGGAAGCCACTGTCTGTGGATCTGACTTTCAGAGTGCAGTGTTGTACTAACTCATGGTCCAGCATCCGTGCTGTCAGGATCAAGCCACTCGTGCTGTCTATGTGAAAATAATCTGTGCTGTTGTAGGTATCCTGGATGATCTGATAATGTACCATTTTGTTGTTTTCTGAGTCTGCATCGGTAGAGACAACTTGCAAAACAGGTGTCCCAATAAGAGATGCTTCTGATAATGTTGTATTGTATGTGGGCTGATCGAAAATAGGGGGGTTGTCATTTACGTCGTTGACTAGCAAGTCAACAGTGACTTCAGCCCTAGCACCAGTAAGGGCGTCGCTGGCTCTTATTGTCAGCTTGTAAACAGAGGTAACCTCATAATCCAAAGGGCTAACAACTTTCAGGACCCCAGTGTCAAAGTCAATGTTAAACTGTTTAAAAGGATCCCCATCAATAATGATGTATATGATGCCTTGGCCTTCTGGACTCGTGGCATTGATGCTTAGGATGGGGGTGTCCACTCTGACGTCTTCATTGATGGATGCTGTATAAAAGGGCTTATCAAACACAGGCATTGCTTTGTTGACAATAGTGATGGGAAGTTCCACAGATGTGGACAAAGAGGGTTTTCCACCATCCTTTGCTAGAATGGTAACTCCATACTCAATGTTGGACAAGTCAGAGTTGAATGCTTCTTTTAAAATAATATTCCCTGAAGTAGGGTTAATTTCAAAGTGGCCATAGTCATCCTGTAGGACATAGGTCACTTCTCCATTTGCACCTTTATCTTTGTCAATGGCTGTTACCTGGTAAATCTGAGTCCCTGGCTCAGCATCAACTTGCACAGCAGCGTAATAAGGGAGGCCCACAAAGACTGGAGAATTGTCATTTATGTCTTCAATGTTAACCCTGACCACCACCCTGGCCACACGCAGATGGTCCAGCTCACGGCTGGCTTCCACCACCAGCTCGTATAACTCTTGCTCTTCACGGTCAAAGGGCACTCCAGTGGTCTGAATGACCCCTGAGGTAGATTTTATCTTGAACTTATTTCCTGGGTTTAGGATGCTGTATTTTAAGGGCTCATTAAGGCGGTTTCCAACTGCATTGACAATAGCAACTTTGGTTATGTTCATGTTGTTCTCTGAGATTGACGTGGAGTAAAAGCTTTGCGTAAAGTGGAGGCCACTGTCCATGGCTTCTTTAACCATGATGGTGACCATGGACGTACTGTAGAACTTTCCGTCAGACACTTTAACTATCAGCATGTAGTGATCTTTGGAGAGGTTGTTGTTTTTTATAGTGAGCACTCCACTATTTGAGTCAATTAAAAAATGATCCAAGCTGCCTTCCATTAGGCTGTATGTCAGTTCGGGGGGCACCTCAGAGTCGGGGTCTGTGGCACTGACTTTCAGAACCTCCACTCCGACATAGGTAGGTAGGAGTAAGACAGTCTCAAACACAGCCTGCGTAAAAACAGGCGGGTTGTCATTCACATCTGTCACCTCGATGTTGACTTCCACGGGACTCTCTGCAGTCAGCTGGGGGCTGCCACTGTCTCTCACGTGCACGTGAAAATGGAAATGGGCGATGGTTTCATGGTCCAGGTTGGCAATGGTTCTAATTGCACCGGTGCTGGAGTCCACCGTGAAGAACTTCTTGGCCATGGACTCCACAATCTGATACACCAGCAGAGCATTGCGGTTGCTGTCAGCATCAGTGGCTCGAATCACCAGTGGGCTGTTATCTAAGCTCCTGACGATGCTATTGACTGGGGCAGCCTCACTCAGGCTGCCTGAGTATTGGGAAAAGAGGAAAACCGGGGCATTATCATTTTCATCAACGATCTGAATATTGACTGTGGCATTGGAAGCCATTCCTGCCATGTTAGTGGCCTGAATGATGAGCTGATAAGAGGAAGTGCGCTCATAATCCAGGGCCTTCCGGGTGGTGACAACTCCAGAATATGGGTTTATGGTAAAGACCCCATCAGTGTCTCCATCTTTGACTTCATAAATGAGGGTAGATTGACTGATAGCGGAGATGAGAATGACTGATGTCCCAACGTCGACATTTTCATTTACTTCTGCTTGGTAGTCTTTGTGTGTGAACTTGGGGTGAGAATTATCGGACATGGTGACAGAAATGCGCACAATTGCAGTGGCAGACATTGGCGGGGAGCCCTGATCTGTGACCTTGATGGACAGGACAAACTGACCCATCGTCGTCATGTCTGGTTCTTTGGAAACGGTGATGATGCCCAGGACTGGTTCGATCTTAAACGTGTTCCCGGTGTTTCCTAAAATACAGAAATCAATGGGGAAATGAGTTACAAGTGGGTCATTAAAATCTTTTTTGAAGATTAACTCTTCATTGAAAGGTACCTTACTGCAACGTGGCAAGCAGAAAGCAATTATCGTATTCATTCTGTATCATTCTGAAATAAAATGAGATGTTTCCCTTTAAGGACTGTTCGAAAGCAACTAGAATGAGTTTTCCAGTAATATTGTGAATTTCATACCAGTAGCTTCTTGATCCAAGTTAGACACAGAAACGACAACAACAAAAACCCAGCACTGTGTACATTCAAGCTGGGAAAGAAGAGAGCTGGTAGGAGAGACTTGTCTACTAAGAATGTGCAGGAATTCCTCATTTCCACCCTTGTGAGAAGAGGGACAGACTGGGCTGGCACATACCAACGCCACTGGTAAAACGGTCTCTGAACCTAAAGCTAGTGTCATATTCTGTGTTCTATGTGAAAAGAAAGAGGGTTGTGGGACTAGTGTCAGAACATTTAGTCAGTTGGTTTCAGATTGTGCCAAAGGTAAGCTCTGCTACATGAAATTGGTACTATTTCACTGGATCAAAAATGACCTCACCCAAAACACTACTTTGGTGAGAGGGTTTTGTTCAGGCACAGAGAATCCTTTGTAAGTCACCGTCTGCTTTGTGAGTTTTGAGCATTTTCTCTGACCACCCTTCCATTCTTCTCTCCTGCTCTACCGTCTCACATGCCCCTGAACACACATGTGCACACACATAGACATAAAAGTAGACATAAAAATTTCATGAGGCAGTTGCTCCAATCTGTAGCCATCTATTCACTAAGCATTTGAGAGGTTTCTGGTGAAGTAGGACGTTGTTGACACTCCGAACCAGCACTGCAACCAAGAACTTGAGGCATAACCCTTAGGAAATGGAGAGCCAGGCACGCCACTTTGACATGGCTGGCATGGGAAGGGCTGTGGCTGTGATGCTGCAGAGGTGTGGAGCTCTGCCTTGCAGACCCTTGCAGTGCCTTGAAATCTGCGATTATCAAGCATGAGAAAAATAAGGAAGGAGTCAAGAACGGGGAACACAAAACATGAAGAGTGTACAGAAGGTAGGTGGTGATGCAGAGCTTGAAAGCAGGGGGCACTGAGAAGCTGCATCCTTCACTGAGCTACTTTTTATCTTATCAGGCTTTTGGACACTTCTCAAAGAACATACGTGCTTCTGTGTCTAAGAGTCTTTTAAATCAAAAGTTAAAGATCTTGGTTATTAAACTGTATCTGGATTTTTCTTTCTTTGTGAATACTGGAGTATGGAAGACTTATAGACTTATTAAATGTCAAAATCATTAAAATAGGCATCATGATTCAGAGGGCAGTTATATGATTTGTTTATTGAAATTTCAGCAAATACAGCTGTGTATATACTCCTTACCACATCCTTATTAAACTTTTACATATCTGAACACTAAGAGGTCATGTTCACATAAATTCCATTTCAATGAGATACTTGCTTATTTTTAAAGAGAAAGGATATCTACTAAGGAGTTCAATTTGATTCCAGCCCCAAAATGTGAGTGTTAAACAATGTTATCTTTGATATCACTATGACTTTTTTACTTGGACACCTAAAACATGGCCATTTTGTGATGATAACAAAAAACTCAGTGCTCTTATGAGTAAACTTTCAAATTTTCAATAAATAGCACTATGGAATTGAGTGTGAATCTAATATTTGATGATTCGTAGACCCTCACAAGGAATCATTTTGCCTAAGCAATGGTCACCTTGCAGTGATGGCATTACATGCAGCCTTGGCTGACAAATGCTAACAGAGCCAAGTGTCTCTGTGCTCATTGATTACAGTGTCCCACTGCAGAGTTTCTAGGTAAGTCCTCCCTCACTCCAGGCCCAGAACATTGCTTCACACCTGGCGACATACATTATGGTGGGGCCAAAGGGGAGCCAGTCTTGACCTCCAGTTGAACTCCATAACTCCCCTCTCCCATGGCCACTGATCCCCCCTTGCTATACACTTCGAGAATGATGTGCTTACACATCAGGTCCAAAGTGGACCCCCTTCCTCTTTCCCTCTTTAACATATTGACCTATTTTCTTGGAATCTACTTCCTGATTAGTCTCTCCTGCTACACTTGAATCCTTGGAAATTAACCTCTGCTTGTTTTCTTGGAATCTGTGGTTTCTTGCAGACTTTTGGCAACTACGTAAAAGCTGGGCTTCTCTTACTTCTAGCGCCCGCCACAAAGAAGGTGCTTGATAATTATTTGTTGAACGAGAGGAGAGGTAAATTTAAAAAAGGTTTTTAATTCACTATCTGTATGCATCTTGAGATCCACTATGCGCCCATGTCACTCGGCTCTCAGTCTTTGTCTCTCTTATACTAGTCTGAAGCTCCGCTGGCACCAACACAAAACCACAACAAGATATAAGACCTGAGGCTCTGTGCTTGGATTCTGCCTCGGCCCTTCAGGCCAAAGTAAAAAGCTTCAGTAGTTATGTTGAGGCCAGGCAGGAGACAGGAAATTTATAGCCCACCAGGAAACAGAGTAAGATCTGGCTTATCTGAGGTGTGTGAGAAAAGTTAAATAAAACATAACACTTCATACAACCATTTGTCATTTGCTTCAAAATGCTGAAAGCATCTGGGATCTGCCTAACTCCGACCATCATGGGTGAAGATGATGGTAGGACCAGCTCAGGTTCGGCGTAGGTCTGCCTGTCAGTCTGTGAGGGGGCCGCCCAGCCATTTGAGATTCAATGTGAACATCGTAATTTAATGTGAACATTGTCTAATGTGAACATCCTATGTGTGTGAGAAGGTCGTTTTTTTGAGATGTCGATTGTTCCTGTGGTTTTCTGGAAGTTCAGGTTTTCTATAGAAAAGATGTTTTAAGGAAATAACTTTTCTCTCTTGTTTGAGTCAGTTGTTAAAGAAATGACCGAGCACCATGCTATCGTCCATAGAAGTTAAAAGATCCATTGGGCAGTCTTTTCAGCTGCATGGTAAGTGAAATTACTCCTCTAGAACCTCTAAATTGGTTGGAAAATTATCTGGCTATTTGAAAGAAGTATAAGTAGTAGGCTTAACGACAAATTATAAAAAGCAGGTGGGTATACAGACAAATGTTTAGAAAATGATAAGAAAATGAGAAATAAAACCCTACATCTAAAGGATTACAGTGACATGAAACAATGTATATGGGTGAATGAATACGGGGAAAAGAAAAGACACAAAATTAGAAAAAACTATAGAAAGAATAAAAAGAGTCGTTGAATTAGGTGACATTTTTCTGTGATATTTTTTGGAAAAGTTTCCTTATTTGTGGAACCAAAAGAACAAGAATTACAAAATTAAGTAGTATTATCTCTGTCATAAACAAGAGATGCAAAACAGCATTTCTAAAAAAAAAAAAATACTGGTCAGGCTTTAGGTTAAAATGAAATTCCATGGAAACCTAGAAAAGAAACAGGCTAATTCTCTTGGACATCTAGCTGTTATGAATTGAAGTCTGGTCTTTTTCTTCTTTTTCAATAGAGCTTAGCACAGAACTATGTAAAATGAGGGTGCCTAATATAGGAAACAGTATAAGATTATCATTTGATGCAGGCACTTTTTTTTTTTAGAAGATTGTTGGCTTTTCTTTTTCTAAAATTTTGAGTCCAAAACTGTCATTCTAGCATTCATAGTTTAATCCAACCCACTGCAAAAATGCTCTACATTTAAATGAATGGAAAGAAGCCTTTCCATTGCTGGCATGAAAGGAGATTGCATTTGGCATTAAGTACGACAGACATAATGTTGCAGAACATTTTGGAAATATGTGGCTTGAATATTCAAAAAAGACAGAACAGGGGAAGAGAAAATAGAGCAGATAAAGGATATTTGTCATTTTTTGGTTCACAGTACTATCTCTTGCTTAGACATTCATCTCTCTGTCATAAATGTTTTCTAGCTACTGCTCTTCAAACCATCAGTAAAGTGTGGTCTTGCCTTATATAGATGTTAAAGTGATTTTTAAAAATCTCAAATTTAACAAAACAAGAGACTATATTTATGTGTCAGCTTAAGCAGGCAGTTCAGACTCCATATCTACCATCTACTCTGTTACTCAGATTGCCTCCAATGAAGTGACTTTGTGCTAGCTGTGAGGGTGTGGGAATTTCTGAAGCCTACAGCCCACCTATTGACAAGTTAACAAAGAGATGTAAAGATTCAATTCACAGAATGGCCCAGTAGCCCTCAGCGGATGGAAAGCTTTGGTTATTTTAGTCTGAAGCCATGGCTTGTTGGCCCATGGGTAAAAGCCACTGAATTTATTACATATTTCTTTTCTCTATTCCAGAAAAATCTGAGATTGCAAACAACAAAGGAAACTCCTTCTTCGCTGTCAACTATGGAAAACACATTAATGAAACACCAAGAACTTTATACACCATCATCACCCAAAGAGGGCAGTTGCTTGGCCAAAAAAAAAAAAAAAATCATTCGGAGATGTTCCATTAGTAATGATCTGAATTTTACATGGTGATAAATACTACTGAGGGTCGAATGTCATGCGATACGCTGAAATCTGTGCAGTGCAATAGCTCTCACCTGCTTCTATTGTGTATATGAGTTCTGCATTTTCCCCTTTGTCTTTGTCCAGAGCCGTCACTTGCAGAACAGCTGATCCCAGGGCAGCGGATTCAAACACAGATGCTTCATACAGTGGGTTGGTAAAGTAAGGACTGTGATCATTAGCATCCTCCACATTCACAATGACTCGGGCCAAGTTTCTTCGATAAGGGAACTCCTGATCTCTGACCTTTAGGCAAAATACAAGAAGCAGTAGGACTAAAATCTTTAATTGCAAAGAACTCACATGGTGGGGTGAAAACAAAGTGAGATAATGTACGCAAAGTGCTTGACCCAGTTCCAGGCACCTCGACGGTGCTCAATAAATGCTGGTATTTGCAAGTAAGGAAACTGACTGTGAGCAAATCAAGAACAGGGGCCATATCATCTTTATTGCTCAGCTTGATGCCTGATCTCTGGTCTGTGTCCATGGAACTGATGCCTTGATATCACCAACACAGCTCTGTGCTCTGGCTCCCCTCACGCAGCCACTTCCCCCTTGATATTTGGGTATACAGTTGCTAAAGGAATGGTGCATGGGGGCTTTCTTATGAGGGAAACTAAAGATTAGAATTAATGAATACAGTGTAAGCATTGTCATTCATCCATTCAACACACATTTATTGTCACCTGTTATCGGTCAAGTCTCTGGCTTGAGTCTGGTGGCTCAGCAGTGAATTGGGTACAGTCCCTGCCCTCAAGAAGCTTAGAGTTGAGTGGGAAACTCAAACGAGTACATAGATAGTGATAAAGCCCAGGAATAAGTGTCTGCATGGGATACACTGAAGGTGCTCTCACAGTGAGTAGTAAGAACCTAACCTAGCATTTGCCATACTGTAAGAGGGAACAAGAACAAGCAGAAGTGGTAAAATGGTGGTGGTAGTTGGGTGCAGCACTTTTAGGCAAAAGAATCAAATCTCAATTTCTAACACTGAGACCCCTCCTTGTGTTCTACCAAAGAACCTTGCTTGGCAGCTTTAAAGCTCCCCCTGGCTTGCATATGGCAGAAGCTTGCAAACAATCAATTCTTTAACCACAAGATTTTGCTATAATTTGATGTAGCACTACTCAAATATGTGCTCTTGGCGTATTCAATTTTAGACTCCATAACTGCAGAGACATGTGAAGAAATCAGAAAAATATACCAAGAAGAGCCAATACAGAGAAAAGGGTTTTCAGAAACAGTACCTAGGAGGAACGAGCAAAATGACTAAAATGGGTTAGCTTGGAAAAAGGCAGTATAAAGGAGTTGTTTGCTCTAAATACTCATTTATATAAATGATGAATGGTAAAGGGAGACCAAACTCAATTCTGAGTTTGCTAAGGAAAGAATGAAGAGAAATGACTTGAAGGACCAGGATAATGGAGTTAGTCACCAGCACAAGGTTTCTTTCCTTGAAGAAAACTCATGCAAAATCAACCCAGTGAGAGTGCTGAATTTCCCTGTCTGTAGACTGGCCTGCCACATCCAAGGACTAAGCTGAACTCTTTATTTTGGGATTATTGAAATCTAGGACAGTTCCAATTGAATGTAAGTTCCACGGGTACAGGAACATATATTTTTCTATTCTCAGTGCCTAGAACAGTGCATGGTACATAGTAGGTGCTCAAGAAATATATGTTGAATGAATGAATGAGGGGCCAGACTCAGCATTGATTTGGATGACCTCCATGAGTCACTGCTTCTGCTTCTTGAAGTCTTAGCTGGAAACCACAGCTGAAGGCATGACTCTCAAGTTTCCTCTTGGTCAGGTTTCCAGTCTTGTGAAGGAAGAGCAGCACTTAGTGCAACATCATTTTCAGCTGATTGGGAGTTCGTAGCCTCTTAGTGTATTCTTTTAAAGCCAATCAGTGCACAAGCTTGTCTGTTATCCTACCTGGTATTAAGGAATGCAGAGGGGACTCTCATAGGCAGTGGCTGTGCAATGCTCATGGGGTTCTTAGGTGGCTGAAGGGACAGATTTCAGGCCATAAATTAATCAAAGATGTTTCTTATTATTCTCTACTTCCCATTTATGTGATCTCGGCAAACTCCACTTTAAAAGTAAAGCAATTCCGCCTACATAATTTGGAGGCCCTATGAACACAAATTGAGACTTAACACTCTCTGCAGGCATCGGCGTGTTTTCAGATCTCTTTTGTGTGCCAGTATTTACTATTAGGCCCAATGCCAGTACAATAAGTAATAAATTGGATCTCTAAACGCTTCCAAGGACTGAGCATTGCATAGGCTGAGTAAATGATTACCCTTGTGATTAACTTCTCAAGGAACTTCTTATAAACTTTTGCACAAAATCGTCAGGATGCAAACCAACACCTGTGCCTGGGAACACGACCTGTTCCTTCCCTCTCAAGTCTGTCAGCAACCTTCCCTGAGTAGCCACTGTCTGCAGAACTTATCTACTATTTCAGTTTGGCAAAGATACGGATTTGCTATCTAACAACGTTAATTTTTCATTGAAAGAAAAAGGCAAAAATGAATGCAATCTGGCTGCGAAGAGACCAAATTTACTATTACTCACAAAATCTAGGGGCCCTGCACTGCTGAAGACTCAGGTGTAGGACCCAAATGGCCAACGGTTCTGCCGGGAGAGAGCAAATTAGCAGTGTGGTCCTACCATGACGTTGAGAATGTGCTTGTCCTGGGCCTCATGGTCCAGTCTCTCGGCAGTGTAGAGCACGCCAGTGCTAGGGTCAATGCGGAACTTTCTCATGCTGATGGAGTCGATGCTGCTGTGGACGGTGTAGCTCAGTTTGTGCTTCTCGTCTCTATCTGTGGCTTCGATCTGCAATATCTCTGTATCTGGAAGCACATCCTCGGAAATTGTCACATCGTAATTCGGCTGAGAGAATTCTGGGCCATTATCATTATTATCCAGCACTTTGATAAATACCTATAGTTAAAAGAAGACAAGAGTGATGACTAATGACAATTTGCTCCTTGCTAATAAAAGAGGCTTCCTCCCTCTTTGTTTATTCCTCCAGGTCGGTCCTTGGATCTCAGCTTCTAGCAGCTACCTCAACATGTAGGAAGCTCTCTTATAAAAGCACTCTGTAATTAGAGGTTGACAGTAAACCAGTAGTTCACATTAGCAGGAACATAAACTATGAGCTGTTCAATATTCTCACTATTAATTGAGCAGTTGAGACGGCCACCTGAAAGTGATAATTCCATGGAATTACTTTGAGGCATAATGTAAATGGTCACAAGGTGACCTTAGTTTGTTAAGATTCTATTACTTCAAGTTCTCATTATGTGCTGCTCTTAGCGGACTTGTGTGGAGGCAGTGAAAAAATGGGAAAAGTAGCAGAGAGACAAAGGAAACTGAGGAACAGACAGAGGTGAACTCAGAGCAGGCACAGCTTCCCAATGACAGTGTCCACGCACCATGGCTGTCCTTCAGATGGGAGGGGGCTGGCAAAGAACATGGTACTAAGAATAGCTAAGATACGAAGTTTCCAAATTGTTTTCTTTCATAAAGCCTTTTATTATAAACATTTTCTGGCAGTAATAGTTAAATGAACACACATATTCATCACTCAGCCTTGATAATGATCAATTCATTGATAATCTGGTTTCATCTATACCCCCACTCACCCACATCTGCTCCTCCTCCCATGTGATTTTAAAGCAAATCCTAGCTATCATGTAAATTTCAGTGTGTGGCCCTCAAAGATGGGGACTCTTAGAATAAAACACAAACATACACAATACCATTATTGCTCCTCAACAGAGAAAACTGTAGTTCTTTAATATCATCAAATATTCAATTGGTATTCATATTTCTCTAATTGTTTTAAATTTATATCTGTTTATGCATATATGTATATTTTTCATAATTTTTTAAAATAAAAATAATGCAAATAAAGTCCAAACATTCCATTTGGTTGATATATCCTTTATATTTTAATTTATAGGTTCTCCATTTCCTTGCAATTTTTATGGTATTATCATCAGTGTTGAAGAAACTCAGCTATTCTCTCTTTAGTTCACACCATCTGAATTTTGCTCATAGCATCCCTATGGTTTTGTTCTATATGTTCCTCTGTCCCCTATATTTCTTATAAATGAATAGTTTCACCTAGGCAGCTTCATAAGATAGAGGTTCAATTTCCTTATTTTTTTCTTTTTGACAAAAATCCTTTAGTAGCGATCTAGTGTACTTTCATCTGGTGATACATAGTATCTGGTTCTCTCTTGTCCGGTGATAGCAGCCAATTAACAATCATCACATAGATAACATTAATTCATTAAAAAATTCAAAATGGTAATGTTCTAATTCTGTGATTTCTTCCTCATTTATTAGCTTCAATAGTTCTGTAAAAAGAAACCTCTCAACTATTTGGTTACTCTGACATACACTCCATATAGGAAAGGCAGGATAAATGCTTCTTTTCCGTTATCATTTTGAAATGATGAGTTAGTTCTGTAGCTCCTCTCAAAGTGACTGATGAGGTATTCTTTTTCAAGCATTACTATGAGCTTGTGAATTTAATCTCATCTAATATGTTTCTATCACAGTTACTACATTTATTGATGCACAAATAGCCCTTCCTTGGACAGTGGGAGCCTCTTCAGGTTTGTTCTTGAGATCTTTTGACACAACCTGAGTACTCTTTGATAGCTTCCTTGCTTTCTGATAATTGCTAGTGGTAATTTTTCCCAGGGTTGCCTTGTACACTTTCTGCCCTAGTCCTGAATTACCCATTTCTCCAAGAAACCTTGATTTCTTTTTTTTTTGAGACAGAGTCTCACTTTGTTGCCCAGGCTAGCGTGAGTGCTGTGGCATCAGCCTAGCTCACAGCAACCTCAAACTCCTGGGCTCAAGCGTTCCTACTGCCTTAGCCTCCCAAGTAGCTGAGACTATAGGCATGCACCACCATGCCCGGCTAATTTTTTTTCTCTATATATTAGTTGGCCAATTAATTTCTTTCTATTTATAGTAGAGATGAGGTCTCACTCTTGCTCAGGCTGGTTTCAAACTCTTGACCTTGAGCAGTTCGCCCGCCTTGGCCTTCCAGAGTGCTGGGATTACAGGTGAAGCCTTGATTTCTTTTTAGTTAGAAATGGCATGTAGAGACCATGATCTAGTGCCAGGAATGCTTGTTGCTACTGGATTGGCTATTATGTTTCAGTTTTATTCATTGGACAGAGTCAGGAAAGGTTTTTGTTTTGTTTTTTTTTTAATATTTCATGAGTTCATACTGCTAATTCAATTCAAAATTAGAGCATCAATGTTTTTACTTAATCTCATTGTTTTTACATTTATAACTCCTTTCTCCCATGCTGAAATTTCTTATGCTCAATGACATCATAATGATTCATTGGTTTATCTGAAATACATGCACAAAAGCCTCAGAATAATGATACCAACATTGTTATTATAATTACAATTATGATCATTCAAAACAATTTAATATTTTGCAGTTCTTTTTGTTCTTAGGATTTATCCAACTAGGAATATATAGTCAAATTAGTATTTTTAAAGTCATTTTGCACAGTTCTTCTCTGTGTAAATATGCTACCAACTGGATACACATTTAAGATCATTTGCTTCCATTTACTTTCAAATTTTAGCCTTGCTTTTTTAATATTTTATTTTATATGTAAAGGTACTAAGGTTAACTTTACAAAAAAGGTATATTTAAAGAAGTTTAGCTTTTATATCTCTCCCCTTCACTCTATTCCCTTCTTCTCCTATAGGTAATATTTTTTAAAACATTATGTTTTACCCATCTATTTTGTAAATATTATTATATATACTTTTCCCCACCATGCTATTATAATTTCACTTTACATTCACATTTCAATTACAATTAACATAACATTAATATTGGTTCTCAACTGGGGAGTGGAGCAAAGGCAATAATATATAACCTAAACATTTGTATCCCTATAATAAGCTGAAAAAACAAATGAAAAAAAATAACCTTTTATATTTCAAAAAAACCCCATTTACATTTCTTTTCTGTTAATTTATATCAGCTCATTCTTCTATGGGCTAGATGGCATTTTCCTTCTTTATTTTTGAAAGCTTGGTGATATAAATTGCAAACAGGTTTTAAATTTTGTCATGTATTTTTATTTTGCTCATGGTGATTTTTTGCCATGCAAAAGTGAACATATCAATCTTTTCCCTTATTGTTTCTGAATGTTAAGTCACAGTTTAGAATATTTTCTGCACTTCCAGATTTTAAATGAACACACCCATTTTTTTTTTTTTAAATAGCATTAGTATGTTCACCCTTTCTTTCATTTAAATCTCTAATTCATTTGGAATTTTTCCTGGTATTTTATGTGAGAAATGGATCTAGTTTTATTTTTTTCCATATGGCGCTCCATTTATTTCAATGCCACTTTTTAGAAGACTATCACTTCCCACTGATTTGAGAAGTCAGATTATTGTATACTAAATTTACATAGGCAGTTAGTATATTTCTGGATTTTCTATTCTGCTCCATTGATTAATCTGTCTTTTGATGCATGAATATAAAAATGTTTTAATTATAGAGGCTTTATAATACATTTTGATGTTTGGAAAGGCTAGGGCCTCTTTCTGTTCTTTTTCAGAGTTTTCCTGACTATTCTTGCTTGTGGTTCTTCCTGACGAATTTATATAGCACTTAACAGACACTTGATAGTATTTTTAGTTGAAATTATGCTAAAAGTACAGGTCCCCTAAAGGAGAATTGACTTCTTTCTTATGTAGTCTTCCTATCCAAGGACATGGTTTGTCTTTTCTCGTCTGGTCAAATCTACTGTATTTTCTGGAAAGTTTTAGTTTTCCTTAGTTTTTGAATACCTTTTAAAATTTATGCATGTGCTATTCTAAATGAGATCTTCTTTTCCAATATATCTTTTCACTGTTTTTTTTTATTTTTTTGAGGGAGGGCTATATATATATAGGTTATTGATTTTGGCACATAAAATTATAATGTGTTATTTTAAAAATTATAATGTGTAATTTTTTTTTATCATTTACAGTTTTCCTGTTCACTTGGTTTTTTAAGATCCTAAATTTGAAGACAACTCTTTTGAGTTTTTCAGATATATAATTATACTGCATGTGAGATAGTTTTACAACTTTTTTTTTCTTTTAAAGGAAATGCAAGTTTCTCTTTTTAAAATAAAATTTATTTATTTATTTATTTATTTATTTTAGAGATGGAGGTGTCTCACTATGATGCCCAGGCTGGATTTGAAGTCCTGGGCTCAAGTGATCCTCCTGTGTCAGCCTCCCAAGTAGCTGTGACTACAGGTATGCCACCTTTTTCTTTATAATTCTTATGACACAAATTGCTTTGTTTAGTTATATTGACTAATAGAGCACAACATTAAATAGTAGTGAACATAATGATTCTCTTGTCTTATTCCTAATAAAAAAAAGCCTCTAATGATTCTCCATTAAAGAATATGACAGCATTTGGATGCATTCCAGAAAATTATTTGCTTTTTAAAATAAATGCAACCAGATTGTGGTTATTTATGTAAATACCTGCATGATCATGCACTTTGGTAGATATGCTTGTTTTCAGTGAGAGATGAGGGCTGGTGCTACCACCTCTGTGCCAGGACAACTTGCCTTTGAGAATGAGCTTGATGTGGGGCAAGCTTTGCCCTGTAGCTTGTGGTAGATAACGCATTGAGAAATGTGCCCATAGAGTTTGGGGTACTGTTTTTGTCTCAACTGTATTTGCAAAACCATACTAGATTCTTTAAATGTCAATTCTTTCCTTTAAAAAGTTCAAGTTAACTTAGTCAAGATGCTAAAATATTTGAGTTCAGTTATTTAACAGGAAAAAAAAAAAAGCTTTTCCAGCCAGCAAGGCTGCCCCGACCTTCACGAAGTTTCAAAGTTGATGTGCTCTTGAAAAGCTTGCCTCTTTCTGCTTG